CGGCCGGTAGCGCGCCGCGGTGAGGCAGCGGCGTGTAGCGCGCGACGTTCGTTGAATACGCTTACTCGTTATGTATAGACGATGGCTGTAACATGCTTCCTTTGCATGTATATTTTATATGTCATGTATAAAGTTGTGTCAAACGCATAGATAAATGAATAGACGCGTGAAATTATGCAACAAAATGTCGTTTATGGACTGTCTTGTTTTTACATACTTTTATTTTATACATTCATCCAGTTTTTCTTAATAAATTGTATGTAGCTCCTGCGTATGTTTCTTTGCTTTATATCACAAAGAGGTGATGTGTTTATCATGGAATATTTATTTAGTCGTGATATTAACATAGAATCAGTTGTATGTGTACATTTTTGTATAAACGGCAGGTATTTGCTGCACAATATGTTTATCATCACAAGTATGTACTGTAACGAAAGATACTCTATTAAAAGATTCTCTTAAACCTTGCAATGCGAGAAATCGCTGTCTCTGTCGATACCATATAAAATATAAGTTGTGACTTTATTACTATGCAGTATGAAATTTTGAGATCTGACGAATTTGTTACCAAAACTTAAAAAAAATGGGATGTTTGTATGGTGGCCATTTAACTAGTATCCACTGCCATACATTATCTACATTTTTTGTATGGTAATGGATACAGTTTTTTTTTCAAAGAGTGAGGGGACGGTGATATGTTTATCTTATTTTATGATAGTGGAAATTCAAGTCATATTTTAATATGCGCTTTTTTTTAATATTGACAAATTAAAAGTACATTTCTGTCTTAAATTACAATAACCTGTGCAGTGAGTGTTGCCAGTAAAGAAAAATAAAATCTTTGTTATGTCTACAATATGGTGGATTTTCATTTTCCAGTTCTTTATTATTAAGGACTTTTTAAGTACATTCTCCCATTGTTAAATATACAAGGCAGTGTAACATGTATGTGTTGGAAACAAGAAATCTATTGGAAATTCATTTTTTTGTTTTTTTTTTCATCACCAATATAACTGGCATATAAAAAAATGGTTTTTTTTTTAATTTACACTCTGGGTTGCCTGATACCTTACCTATAGTAATATAAATAAATGCTAAGGTGCCCCTTAGTGATTACTAAATATATTTGAGTTCGGGAGTTAATCTGACTATATTGCTGAAAGTTCAAATTTCAATTCATTTGTAAAATTCTGCATACTAAATTTAATCTAAAAACTAGAAATACAGATTAAACAGCAGAATGAATAAGTAAATCCATTTCTTTTATTTTCAAAAAAATACAAGTTTTAATACATGTCAAAGTACAATTAACTTTTATAATCTTTTTTAAAAGATAATGCTGAAAATGTTTTTATTGTAATGTTATTTAAAAAACATCTTCATGAAAGTTAACCGAACTTGACTCCTTGCTTTATAAAAAAATATATAATATAAAAATCACACCAACATTTCACTTTTCAAATTAATTTGCACAGTTTGAAATGCTATAAAAAGATTCTTTGGCAATTATTTGTGTTGTGACGTTAAGTGTCTTAGGAAATAATTAAGAAAAATAAATGTAACATAGAAAATGAGATAGTGTAGATTATAATTGTTAACATTTTAAATTATTAAGCTGCCAATAACATTTACATGTACAGAATATTTTATAATACGTTATGTAATGTATACTAAGTGTATACTGACTGTAAATATAGACATGTAAATAACACAAAGGAACTCCTTTGTAAAGCCTGCTATAGACGACCAGTTCTGAGATTTTTAATTACAGTTAAAACTACGTGTGTAGGCAACATTTTAATTGACAATTGAATTAAGTTTTGCCTACATATTGTGTTTTAACTGTAGTTAGGGTACCCACCAAATTGTAAATTGTCATAACAATCCAACGTGTGAAATATGTGATGGAAATATCAGATTTTGTTACCTTATCTGATAGTGACGTCATTATCTGAGCCTCAGCCGGTGGTGGGACAGGCCCTTAGACTTATATATTAAAACTGTTAGAACTGATCGTCTTTAGCAGGTATTAGATAATTGTAATCAAGGTACTACAGACAGTATTCTATAATATATTTGTAAATGTTTAAATTATGAAATATTTGAAAGTTTACAATAAATGTGTAAAATTGCAGCTTTTTGCCTGCCTTTGGAACTGATAGGAACTAACATCGAGTGCATATAGATCCAAGGAAGTCTTATCGAAAAAGATATACACGGACGAATTGAGTACCTCCTTTTGGGAAGTCGGTCAATAAATGATAAAGCCTAGTTCCATTAACTATATAAGTTCTGGTGTAAATCTAATTTTAATGTAACGCGGAACAAGTAGATTGTTTTAAATGTAGATATATTTAATGATGGAATTAAAAGAATTACATCTGAAAAGTATTAAAAAAAAACCTTCGGTAATTGAAGGATTCATTTTGATTTATTGTAAACTTTCTGGTCATGAAACAATCTTAACCGTATTGTTTACAGTTTTGTTTAACAATACAGTGATATTAAATTAGATGGTTACGCAATTGTAAAAAAAAGTAATTTAAAAAAAATATTTTTACGTAAATCATACGGTTTAGTTGCCATTTTAGAATGTGGACTAGTCTAAATAAATAGTTTTTCGTATAATAAAAATTGATTTGGAATTATTAAATTGTTAGTGTAGCAACATTTGTATGCAAATATTTCTGCAGATATCGCAACGTCAGACTGCGCCGTATCGTTACTATGGTATCGACACGTTTACGCTTATTTTATAACAAAAAACAATTCGAATGTTTCATGTATCAAATAATAGCTTGTTATTGTGAGTTGTTTACAATAATTCATTCCTAGTGTTCATCCACATGTTTATTCTGGTTATTTTAGTTTTAGTTCGTTGTATTACAGTCCACGTCATCACAGTCCACATCATCACAGTCTATATTATTTTACAGTTCATGTCATCACAGTCCACATCATCACAGTCTATATCATTTCACAGTCCACATCATATCACAGTCCATATTGTTTTACAGTTCATGTCATCACAGTCCACATCATCACAGTCTATATTATTTTACAGTTCATGTCATCACAGTCCACATCATATCAGTCTATATCATTTTACAGCCCACATCATATCTCACAAAATGACTCGATGCTTATCTAAAATGTTGGATGCTTTAACTTATATGTTACTATCATCCCAGTAATAGGCTTTATTGACATATCTAGAAAAAATTTTTTTTTGAAAAACGAAAATTTGATGTAGCGCATGAAACATTCGAAAGTCGATGTTGGGGTATTGTTTTAACAAGTAATTAAAACAATATGGCGTCTTATTTGACTGTGTTCAATTTTGAATTGTGGGTAGAGTTGGGTAAAGTATGCTTAAGGTGCGATTGCCGATGGTTATTGTGTAAACAAGATAATAGTTACAAGGACTGTAGAAAAAATGTTAAGGTACAAATTTATATTAGAATCAGGCCAGTTTAGTGTTTTTAAAATAACTTTATTAGAAGGTTTGTTAGTACGGAACAGCCCAAAGCCTTTAATGTAAATTGTGTAAGGATTTTTTTAACACTTACGGCAAATGATTACTTTATTAAGTATGTAATTGTTATAAAATTATATTTATCATGACATTATAAGCAAATTGAAATACAACATGTTTAAAAGTATGCTTTGGATTTTATTTATTCCTGCTTCAGTGACGTTAAAATTAAGCATAGAGTTTCTAAAAGTGGTTAGAGACTCCAATAAATGTACAATAGATATAAACACAAGTACGAATTAGATCATTTACTAATGTTAGCTGCCCTCTTTCCCCTACGTTAGATCTTTATGGAGGACTAGCTGTTGCTCGTGACTTCGCCCACGTAAAACTAAAAAAAATAGTAAAAATATGGCCTATGTTACTAATAACTTACATAGGTTGCTTAAAAAAATGGCACCATTGCAGTCCGTCGCGACGCGATAGCGAGTATACCCGATTAATCGGTGCCTATACCGAATATTATCACGTGAGTTTAGCCGTGTTATAATTTATATACCATTGCAAGATTTCTTAAATCGGTCCACTAGTTTTTGAGTTATCTCAATACATACAGAAATACAAATCTTTCCTCTTTATTACATTAGTATAGATAATTTCGCTGGCCTTTCACAGTTTAAACAACAAATTTTAAGTTTTAAATTAGTTAATATTTATCAAGAATCAAAATCCAAATAAACAAAATATACACTTATCTTAAAAAACAATTTTATTAGAAAACAATTTCACTTATATGTAATTTACAATCGTAGAAGGAACAAGTTGCAACTATCGATGTTTCCTCGAACTTCCAGTCAGCGCCATACGCTATGCTTTCGTGCTCCAAATATTTGCAAACGATTGATATTTCTTTATCAACACGTAATAATCGGAAACCTCCATACATGCAGGCAGATAGTACTACGTTGTTGTATGGATGCCATTTCAGTCTCCAAACTCCGCCGTTGACATCTACTTCGGTTATGCAGCATTTTAGATTCCTCGCGTCCCATAATCGAACTTTTTCATCATAACTGTACAGAAATATTATCGATTGATATGTTAAAAGTTGTATGTAGGAAATTCGAAATTTTAAGTATTATAGCAATTTTTGATAGATTCAAATCATTTTTAAAAATTTTAAGTTCACCCATTTTATCTCTAATGCATTCAAATCTGTGGGCCGGAGATAAGTCCCGTTTCCGATACCACATTTTTCTGATAATGACAAGTAATACCGAGGACCGTCGAAGTCGAGGGAGGCCAAAGCTCCGGTGGATAGACGGCATAAGTAGAGACGTGAAAACCGTTGGCATAGCAAACTGGAGGACCGTGGCCAGAGATAAGCCGAAATGGAAAAAAATGCTGGACCAAGCCAAGGCCCACAAAGGGCTGTAGAGCTACAGACGAAGAAGAAGATTTTTCTGATAAGGATGAGAAGGGGAACTGAAGTCTAGGAGAGTAATTATCCCTCTTCTGTCCGTCCTCTGTCTATTAAAGGTAGTCAATTCATTTGAACTTGGCGATATCTACGAGCAACGGTCCCTATTTTGGGGAATTCAGGTGGCCGCTTTATAAGGTGTTAAACAAACCTGCCAGTCAGCAGTCTATGTTCAGTATCGACGTCGCTCCTGACGGCCGTCACTCCAGCCTCGTGTTTCTTATTGCTGACGATTGCGTCCGGTGTTCGCAAATCATACGCTTTGAACATACAATCGTCACCACCTAGAAGTTATGATAAAGAATAATATACATTTTATTAACGGGTTTTCGCCCGCGACCCCGTCCGCACGGAATTTAAAAAACTACTTAGAGAGCCTTTGTGTTCGTTCAGACTATGCTCTACTGACTATGGCATATTTCATCGAGATCGTTCAGCAATTACACTGCAAACTTTAGGGACTGTCTCACAATTCTTGAAATTGTGTCAATAACAATCTAACGTATAAAACATGTGAACAATGTGTGTATCGAATTTTGGTACGCTATCTGACAGTAACGTCTCTTCAGCTATCTAAGCCTCTATCAGCCAGTGGTAGGACAGGCTCTAAATAATATAACTCACCACTATAAAAGACGTCAGGGTTCCAATAATTGAAAGCCGCCACCCAAGCTTCGAATCCGTGATTTTTTCTATCATACAATTCCTTCAAACTGTCTCCTAACACCTTAAATAATTTAATATGTCCAGCTGAGTCACTGACGACAATAATTGGTTCATCTACCATAGTCTTATTACTCGACCAATCTAATGACAGAGCTAACAATTCTTGGCCAATCAAAACTTCTATCCATAACTTTAATTGTATACAATTATCAATATCATGCAGTTTGTATAACTGGAGTTTGCCTTCAGATGTGACCACACCTAAAATAGGATAACCTCCAATAGTGTGGTAACACCATTTCTGATCCAATATTCCCGCCGTGTCAATCGTTTGGGCGGGGATTAATTCCTTCGTGTCATTATTGACGAGAAATAAATATATCCTACCAAGACGCGTTTGCTTTTTATTTTGCTGACCTGGAAAAAGATCATGTATATATATTCAATAAAAATCTATTGAATTTAGGTACTGTCGAATACAATTTCGAAAAGGCTGTGTATACATTTAGCAACTATTTCAAATTTTAAAAATACTAGCTTTGGACTGGAACTTCATTCGCGGGGAATTAAAAGAAAACAAAAGTCAGTAGCCTGTGTTCTTTCAGATTATCCTGTACGTGTATGCCAAATTTCATCAGAATCCGTTCAGCCGTTAAGGCTACAACTCTACATGCATCTATGTTTTCGCATTTGTAATAGCAAGAAGTAAGATGTTCCGACCTCTATAGCGTATTTGAAATCAATACCTTCATCTTTTTTATCCAATTGGTACGTGCCGCACACGAGTACATTTTGGTAGGGCAACACTGGACACCACTCTACTGAGTCCGCACTGTACCCAGTCTCCCATCGCAATCGTGTTCTCCACATAGACATCGCTAACTGCAAAATACCATCTTACAATTAAACTAAATTTAGGACCGTAAAACTAAGTTCTTTAAAATCTATGCTAATATAATACAGTGGAAAGATCTATTTTTGTATGTATTGAAATTACTTAAAAACTACTGGGCCGATTTTAAAAATTCTTTTATCATTAAAAAGCTACATTTTCAGTGTAACATAGAATATCTTTTTTAAATTTCACGCGAATGAAGTCACGAGCAACAGCTAGTCTTGGATATTTAAACTCTATTAAAATATAATTTCACAGGTCATCATTTGTGTACTGGTTTTAAAAACAATATATGTATGAGTAAAAATGTAACACTTTGTTATATCGAAAAAAAAAACTTTGTTAATGATGTTTATAAAAAGTTATCCGTACTTAATCTACTTAAAAGTTACATAAAACACAACCCGTCACTTCGTTTCTCCGGTTGATTGAACTTTTATAAGTCGGAAAAGTTTCAACTTTGCCTTCGTAATATCAATAACACGAACTTTTCAAGTTCACTCAGGATTATGTCAATACCTTCAAAACTTGAAAGTTTCACTTTAAGTGAGAAAGGAAATTGTTCACAAAAGTTGAATACGCTTTCATTACACTCAGTGCCGAAAAAAGTAACTTTTACATTTCAAATTAAAAAAGCATTATTAAACGCGAGAATTGCGTGTTTCAAATTAAGGCGTGAATAAAACCACAATTATTTAATTTTAAACCCATTTAATGATATAATAAAAATAAGTCCATACAATAATAAATACCGTATACTAACACTAATCCGAAGTTAAAAATTCAACATTTATATTCAGTATCGCTATAACACATATCTTTACTAATTCTCTAACATTTGTACTGTTTTATGGTTCTTTACTTACAAATTACATTTTCTAAAAAGTTTGCTAGAAATCAAATGCCCCTTGTGGTAACACTGCGGTCGAAATTACGCAATAAATATATCAATACAATGGTAACAGTTTGTAACTTAAAAGATAATTTTATTGGGTAAATAAAATTGATAAATAAACATTTTAAATAAGAATGTACACGTAATAACCTCGTTATATAAAAAAATCTTTAAAAACGTTTACTCAGCTTTAGAAATAAACGCGGCATAAAGAAACTTAGGAATAAACTGAGTATAAAGAAATATTAGTACATTTTTTTATAGTCAGTTTATTCCTAAGTTTAACTTTATACCGCTTTTACTTGTAAGGCTGTAGAGGTTTAAATAAGAGCGTGTCAGCTCTCAGAAATATTATCTGTGGAATTTCTAAAAGTCAAAAAAATGGGCAACATCATTGATTTGAGGACGTCATAGTATGGTGCGAGTTCGTGCACATTTTTATTTAAAACGGTACAGTTGGGCAAACTGGCTGTGTTCCTTAAAGACATTATAACGACGAAGCGGATCAAAAACCAATAGGACACAGATTTTAATGTGTCTGTATGAAAAATTCGGTTAGTGATACACGGCTAATCTAATTTAATTATTATTCCTTCGTTTGCGCTATTCACTGTTTTCTTATTGTTTATTTATAAGAAATGGCGGAGTTTGCGTCGTTTAAAAAAAAAGGCATTATTTCCTGAAGTAGAACACCGCGAATTTCCGCTACTGTACATATTGGAATTACAATAAGGAGCTAAGATTTGAAATTCCTCTGTCAATGTAAATAATGTACGTGTATACGAATAAAAAATATTCATAGAAATGGACTTCACAATACTCAGAATAACATTTACGTAAGTACTCTAATTATTAATGGTAACTTATTTTAATTCTATACCTTTATTTCGTCTTACAATTATTTTAAACGAGTTTAGTATACTTGCAGCAGTTGGACCGAATTGATTTTATAATTTTTATTACAATAAAGATCTCGCTAAACGGGCGATTACAGATATACTTAGCATAGACATTTCTAGCGTATTCGTAGTTCTCGTATACATCTCGGCTTTACGCTCATTACATTAAATCTAATAAAATGCCAACATGTACTAAATATTCAAAAATTAACGCCCATCTGTTTAACTGTGCGAAGGTGGTTTATTAGTTAATTAAATGGTAAACTATATACAACTTAGGGCTAATCGAAAAAAATATTACCGAAAAAAAAAATGAGCACATTACCTTACAATCTAAAGTATGCTAATATGAGGTCACACACATGATTGGCTATTTTTTTTTTTAAATTAAAAACATCTGACACTGACTATAGTTCAACAGCCACACAATAATATCACTGACTTCATTATTACTTCAGCATTGAGTATATTGTGCATGTTACAAATAGATACTGGCTTTTTACAAACTAAAAAAAAAAAACAGACAAATCATATTTTAAATGGAACACTGTATTTGAGAAAACGATATTACCAAATTCACATTGAAAAAATGTGATTTAATATGCAAATTAATTAAATTTAAATGTAAAATTTCGAATTTGTAATAAATAAAAAAGATAATTTTCAATTTTTGTTATTGTTTTAGTCCAAATGATAATAGATCCATAAATTGGTCTCAAAAAGTATGATTATTTCTAAATATCTTGTCCCTTTTATATAAAAATATCTGTAAGGAAATAAGACTAGGCCTCGAGTAGTGTAATAAAACTTGATCAAACTTGAAATAGCTAAATATTTTCTTATAACTTGTAAATACAGCACAAAACTCTACCTAGTCTCTTCTCTACAACCATAGAGTCTAGAGGCGGATTGTCTATAACAAAGTAGTTTTTTAGGCAAGAGATAAAAACTACAACCATAAAAACTGGAACTTATGTGTGTTTTATAAACATTGATTAGTTAACAGCATTTACATCATAGCAAATAATGCCTAACGATTTACGAGAATACCTAACTTGATAGAAATTTGTCATAAATTATAATAGCTCACTAGCGCCACTCTGTCAATGTCAACTTCATGCAATGATTTTTTATACTCATGAAATTTTCACATATTTTCTGACAGAACCTGCAATAGCAGTATCTTTCCTTACTCCAATTTTGTTTGACTATTCTTGTATAAAAATACCTAGACTGTTAATCCGCCTCTAAATCTAATACATAAAAAACCTATAATACCAATCAGTGTTGCCAGTACTTAATCTTAACAACAACTATTATAAACATTAATAATATTAATCTTTTGTTTTTTCGTCTGAGGTAGATGTTCACAATAAATGTTGCAATCACAGCCTGTTCATTCAGGACATATCAGAACATTTTACACAATTATATGAAAACATATGTACATATAGATATTTTTTTTATAAGAAAAGGGGGCAAACGATGGGAACACCAAGGTGGTTAATAATGCCCATTGACATCCACACCAGAGGAACTACAGACAATCTTTACGTATATTATAAAGAGGAAAGATTTCTTTTTTTTATATTTTTGTATGTATTCGACTAACGCAATAACCACTGGGCCGATTTTAAACATTATTTCATTATCTGTACATATAATTAGACCGAAGTGTGTTTTTTTAACCTCTCATTTACTTATTAATTGTGATTTGTATAAGTTCCACGACAGTGCCAATAGTCTTACCTTTCCTATGAGTAATATTTTTAGACATATGTGTAACATTAGACATGTTACAAAATATTATATGTTTTGTGTAAGGCTTATCAATATGTACATATCTTTGCATTTTACGATATTACATATCATGAGACTGCCAACAATGTTATGATACTTCTTATGTTAGCATTACGATATACTAAATATTTGTTTGATATATAATTAAATTCAATTTAATGAAAATGTGAAAAAATGACATAATTTTTCATCCCAAATTAATGTCTAAATATTTCATACTCTCATATCTATTGTTTTATTCATTTATTGCAATTATTTAAAGTATATTATAAATAAAGTAGAATTTCATATAGTCTAATTTTGTTAAAATTAATCATGGAAATGTTTAGTTTTTTATATATTTGTCACATAGAGAAACTCAAAAAGGTTATAACTTTATGTCTAAGTACCCTGAATTATATCTATTATAGTTTAATCTAATTTGTTTGTTAAAATGTTCAAAATAGTTACTTTTTACTTCAAAATAAAACTATTTTTATTACTTTAAACTGTCGTCGTACAAATATAATGTTCGTAAAATACAGGATTTCTGACCACAATTGGGTTTTAGCTTCCGATATTTCAGGACAGTTGCATGCACCATTTTTTACCTTTTTTCAAACTACGGCATCACTTCAGCCAGCCCGTGATGACACATGCAACTGTGCCGAAATATCGGGAGTTAAAACAACCCAATCGTTGTAAGAAACCCGATCTTACGAACATTGTATTTTTTACTTTTTGTCACATACCAAAATAACAATCCCAGATCAAGTAACAATTCCAATATTATATTTGTATATCTTTAACTATGTATGTGTTAACCATTTAAGTTTTAAATGACCTTGTCACCTTTGACCTGAGATTACAAAATAAAATGCTAACAAAAGAATTTATAATGATTTGTGTTTAAAAATAAATTTCAAATACAAATATGTTAATTTGGTTCTAATTAGGGATGGGTAATTTATAGACATCAAAAAATCTAACACAATTTTTTTTTCAATTAGTTGAAAAATTGGTTTAGTCAATCATTAAAAAAAAGAGAGTCAAAGACTGATGGCGTAAAAAAATTATGAACAGAGATTTCTATGTAGAACATTAATTACAACTAGTTGAACAAAAAACGGTCAACAGTTAGTGTTAATAGTTGAACATCAGTTGTTTCAACTAGTTTGTTGAACACCCATCCCTTGTGGTAATGTTGCAAGAGTATACAGATTCATTAATTTAGAGTCAGTCCTGGTATGAAGAACATTATTCTAGTATTTTTGAGCAAGTAAAGCAGTTATTAATAAAATAAAAGGAGAGAAAGATATCTATTCTACCGTTTTTTTTAACAGCATTGAACCAACTCTAGTTTTGAGAAATCTGTATATCTCAAAAATAATCTGTTGGCAGTTATTAGTATATTTTATAATGAATTCTACAAATTGACTGTTTGTGAGATCAGTACATAATTACTGTCTAGCTGACCTCTCAGTCTCGATCAGGCACTCCCTGACAAGAATACGCGCGTGAACAATGCCTCGTTTTAGACGCTCCGCTGAACTACGACTGCCTGAATAGCTTGGTCTCACTTCCTTACCCATTTCTTCAATAACTGCTAACAACTGAGCATATTTTGACATACCGTTATCCTTGTCTTTACCGATCGACGAAGGAGAAGCGGCAGGCACCGTGGAGATTGTTGCGTGGCTGTTCCCACTATGTCCTATGTCCTTGTGCACGTTCTTACTGGTCATAGGTATCGCGGTCACCGTTACATCACTCAATTTTGACTCAACAGCCTGTATATCCATCGCCTCCATTGCCTAAAAACAAATGATAATCAGCATAATAAAAGAAGCCTAACTAATCGAGGGCAACAAACACACAACTTACCTAAACTAAAACCAACTAAGATACCGATAAGAAGTAGAAATTCTACTTGTTTCAATCACGGTCTATAGCGGAAATTACGAATAATCATCAAAATTTATGTGCAATGTAGGACATACCCGAAACGATCGCCTTGCAGCCACTTGAAGGTCCCGCGAACTAATATTTTATTGTCCAGTGAGGTATTCAAATTTGATTACATGTAACTGTTGGAATGTGTCTAATTTGTTATTTCATAAGCAAATAAAAGTCGTAAATAAAGCCAATATTTTCTAAACAAGATCGAAATTACCACATTGACAAGAGCTCTTTCCACAGATAACATTAAACGTCTTAGACATGCCAGATACCAGACAGACATGAAACTCGACCTTTGTTTCAAATCGAGAGAATTTCGCACTTTATTATGGAATTAATAATTTCATCTTTTTGCTCAGTAAATAAAAATAAATGATGTATTTAGAGACAGTCAGAAATTTCTTTTTTTTATTTCATAAGTAGCTTTTTGGCGCAATAATAGATGGCGCTTTTGTTAATCTGTATTCTTCTGTCAACCATACTAAAAACTCGAAAGAATTTAGAAAAGTCAAGTGAAATAGGCTACAGTCCATCCCTTAAATGTATTAATTTTCTTCATAGGTCATGGTTATTCATGACAAAGAATTCAACTAGCTCTACATTATGATTAAGTGAAGCGATTAGTGTTACCGGTTACCGTATAAAGTTTCATAATAGTAAATTGCTGAGCGTTCCGATCACAGTCGGTCTAAATTGATCAAATGAATGTAAATAATAAAACAATAAGTGGTCGGTGTCAAGTGATTTCTCCGCCTACTGCAACGCCGGAGATCATTATGCGGTTAGCGCGACATGCGACTTGAGTACTCCAGACAAAAGAGTACTTGAGACATGTCGGGCGAGGGCGAGCGCGCGTCCCGGCCTAACTCCCTGCTGCTGGAGCCACCTCCCCCGGAGCGCGAGCCGCTACACTTTGATGTGCAGCTGGTCGGGGCGCCGCCGGAAGTCGAGCAACTGGTCAATAATATCAAACAAGTCGCTGAGGACTTCCTCTATCACTGGAAGACATTTCCTATTGGTGAGTTTATCTTTTGTTTAGTCAGGACAAAACTCCTATACAAACATACTAAATATTAATAGATTTACTAGTAGTATTAATTATTATATAATAAAAATTACACAAAATTAAGAATACAATTTGTTAGAGAATGTATAGACAAGATGGTGGTTTATTCTAATAGAGGAAAGAACAAAGGTGTTTATGTACTATAATGTTTCTATTTGTTAAAAATAGAAACATTATACTTTGGACTGATGAAAAAACTTCTTAAACTTCTCACCATATTTCACAGTACTCCCTCCATCACAATTCACGGGACCTGGTAACAAGCCTTCAGATATTATAATCGCACCACCTTGCGATGAGCTGGATGCGGCAGCCTTGGATGCAGGAGTGGAGCCACAGCCTTTGTCACCAAAGCAACTACATGCCATACGAGAAAAAGGGTAAGTAAATATTATGTTACTAGATTTTGCCTCTGAAAAAAAAAACTTATTGAGTAGCCTATGTCCGGAATATGTTCAATATTTGAGTCAAATTTTATCAAGATCTTTTATTCTGGAGATACCAAACAAACATCCATCTAAATTTAAAAATATTAGTAATATTGTAGACATAACAATGCTGTTAGTGTATACTTATTAACTTAAAAGCATGTTATTAATTAATTTATAACATAAGTCTCGCTTGGGGAATTGAATATGAAGATTATAAAATGCTTAAAAAAACTTAACTTAGCTTTGAACATAGAAAATAATTATGTTTGAAGTATCTATACCGATTTCAAAAAGGAGATGTTTGTATTTTTGTATTTATTGAAATAACTCAAAAAAGTCAAGAACAAAGCATAATTTCTAGGGCTTATAGCGGGATGTGAACAGGGCTATATGAGACTGTAATTCGCAGACCTATGGGTGCCCCTGTCCATCACTTTAGGTCACCCAATCATGTTCTACCATAAAGCCAGCTCTAAATAAAACACACAAAAATAGAGTTATGTTACTGTCATCCTTTGTTATAATGAATTTTGTACTTGTCTTCTTGTTCTAAAAAACAACTACATTTCGTCATAATTCAGAATGTTCAAGAGATATGTTACGTTTTTAGTTTGAATAATTCACACTATTATGCATTATTTGAAAAACAAATGCAATTGGACTTGGATATCTAAACAATGCCAGTTTTGTGACGCGATGACGTCATCGTTATTACGTTATGTATTCTTAATGCTTTTCAATCTTCTTACTAATATTAGAAATGTGAAAATTTTGATGGATGGATGAATGTTTGTTAGAGTTTGTAGCCTAAACAGCTGAAGGGATCTCGATGAAATTTGGCATAGATTTAGATAGTCTGGAAGAACACATAGGCTACTTACTTTTATTTTTTAAATAGCACGCGGACGGAGTCGCGGGCGAAAGCTAGTATCTTATAAATATACGTTAGAATTGGTTAAAACCGAAAAGACTGGTAATAATAGTTTTATACGCAGTACCAGAGAAATTAAAGTTGCGTTACTTGTCTCTTAGTACGAGATGCGCTAGTTTCATAAAGGACCATAGGTCGTTACAATACCGCTAAAGAGAGAATCTTCCCCATAATAAGCATAATTCGATATCGCATTTTAGTCGTTATAATTAATAGAGGTAAACTTATATGAAAAATTAGTTTAACTAACGTATGAATGGGACTACAAGATTCTCGTATTACGGTCAAGTACGTCGTCACAGCGTAGGCAGCCTCCTACAAGGTGTACTAATCAGTCAAGGTTTCAGGTTTGAATGAAGACCCATTCTTTGAGTATAATATATGATAAAACTATTCGGTTCCAATATCCAATATTTTTTTTGGCGTCTAAGTTGCGTAATTTGTAAGCCAAAACCGCACAACCGATTTAAACTAAGAAGGTGGCATTCTGTTCGTACACTTCTCCTAAGTGTTTTGAATTTTTGATTATTAAATAGTTAACTTATTAATTATCTATCTATACTAATGTGTAATTATTATTATTTAGATTTTTGTGTGTATTGATAACTTAAAAACTACTGGACCGATTACCAATATTCTTTCACTATTAAAAAGCTACGTTATCAGTGAGTAACATAGGCTATATTTTTTAATTTCACGCGGGCGGAATCGCCAGCAATAGCCAGTAATTAACATACTAAATAGTGTTATTTTAAGTTGTCAAATGTCCTTATGGGTCAGAATATGTTACTTCGCCTTTTAGCGCGCCTTTATTATGAAAAGGAAATGGTAGAATTAATCTGGGACAATATGCAGCTATTAATACCATTGACTGTATTCTGTGGCGCATTTTTGTATGTCAACCATATTGTAGATTTAAAATTCCAGGACAAAATAGTTGCAAGTGAACTGTTCTTAATAATTAGAGTGACTAAAAAAAGTACAATTAGAATAAATAGAGACTTCTCTAATAATTTATTCAACTAACTTTTTAATTCGATCACATTAAATAATCCGTCAGTTTTAATCAAATAGACTATCCGAAATGTTCTTGTTGCTTGGTCACAATATTTATACATTACATAAAAGTCCCATTGAACGAATGGCATGTGCAGGACAAAATCGTTGGCTGTAAAGATTCTGTTTATTGAAATTTTTGTACTTAAAAGTGGCAATTAAATAAAAGTAAAACACTACGATCGTTATTTATTTAACGATTTCACCAAGAGTTTTCTAAGTAATCCGTAAAGTTACTGTGAAGTGTATTAAAAAAATGCTCAGTACAAAGTTTTCTAAGGCATCTTTAGATACATATTTCCTTAATCCGTTAATACTCGCATTTGTAAGTATTCCTATACAAATGTTTGGAACAAAGCAATCATATGCCCGCACTCTTTTTTATTACGTTAATTGACATACTCACTGCTATAGTACGGCATAATTAGTTACATAAAGACTGTAACAGGGTTCTGTAAATTACTATATTATTTTTGAGGATGAATTATTAAGTTTAAGGACATTGAATGAGGGTCTAACTATTCTAATATAGAGAGGAAAAATAACTATTTAACCACAAAACTACTGAACCGATATCATTTTTATTAGCCACTAGCTGTTCCCGTGCGACTTCATCCGCGTGAAATTATGAAAATTTTATTTTATTGTTTACATTTGTCAAATGATCAATTACAAATGTCAAAATGACATGACATGGTGACAACCTTGCTTCCTTGATGTTGGCAGCAACTTATGATCTCTTTCCCACATTCGGGTTTTTATCCAAAATATTTACCCTCTAAGTTTAATGGCGTGAAAATATATAGCCTAAAGCGTGACGTAAGCGTAGGGCTTTCTATTAAAAAAAATATTATTTAAAAATATGCTGTAATCGCTGACATCTTAGGCAACAAAGAAGTGTGTGTTTACGTTTTATTATAATAGTATAGATTACAAAGCTATATTTTCATTAACACGGGCTATACTAATTCGATTTTTTAACTTCTCACTGACGAAGTTTAGAATAGCTAATAAAAATACATCGTCGTTTGTTTGGTTAAAACGAAGATTTATCATTATGATTAAAGAAATTTAGTATGTCATTTATTATTATGGAAATTACATTTCTCTCATATGAAGGCTGTTTATTTTTTTATTAGAGCATTCATTATTCATGGATAATTTGTCAACGACACATGTCATTAGACGATAGCTTGGAGCTTGTGATAGACGCAATAGGTTTTTTCATCGGTATATATGAGACGTTTTTTGTTCAATAAAGCTTGCACAAGGACAATGTATTTAAGCCGAAGAAACTAAGTACTAAACAATTGGAATCGATACACGAATGGGGGTATGTTGCCCTGACAAATATATATGTATGGTATATGTGACATAACATTGGCGCCAATTCAAATTGTCATTAGATCACAGATTATGTAAAGTCAATTGGAATGCTTTATTATCTGTGCTGCATATTTTACAAATGTATCTTATATCTTTCCTTCTTTTAAAGATTGAGGATATTTCTTTTGTTCTACAGTTAGTTGGCGCCAATGTCCTTCCAATACGTAGCATGTATGTGGACACTAGTTGCTTCTTTCTATGTCCTTGTGTATATTTTTTTCTAGTCTCCCGCATCGCTCCGTAGTTTCATTTCATCCGTGTAATAATACAGACCCTTTCCAGAGGCATGTTCCTTGTCTTAGTCTAGGAATTGTGATTTCTTCTTATGTAAAAATATCTATAAATCAATTTACACGTTCAAATTCTGTACAGTTACACTATATAAATCTTTTATTAGGTAATATATTTTCCAGTACAAAATTCTTGATCTTTAACATTGTGTTCTCGTAACCCTGTAGCCATGCTTTGGATTCCTTCTGTGGAGCGCTGATCTGAGTACATTAAATTATATTTCATGTATATATGTTAGGGAATTCGAGGTGCCATCCCGTCACTTTCCTGGTCAGAGCCACGTGTGGCGCGTGGCTGGATGGCTGCAACGTGGCAGGGCGCGTGCAAGGGAGGAGTTGTATTGCCACGTTGCGAGAGCTGTCGCACTGCTGGTGGTTGTGGCGAGAGACCGCCTGCTAAGAGATGAACCGTTGTCTGTGATAGCTGGGGGGAAGGCGTTGTTACAAGGACTGCATAGGTTAGTCGAATATTACTAAGAAATAAAGAGATTTAATGCTACAATTGTTTGTACTGAGTACGCTTTTGTTTACATTAATTCTAGGTTATTAGATGTACTGATTGGAATGCCTTCGCTAGAAGCTAGGGATCTCGATAAGAAAATTCGAGAAGAACGGTCGAGGTACTTAGTGGCGGAACTCATTTGTAAGGTGAGAAATCTATTATTATGAAATTAAATTAGGGTTTACACTTATTGTGTGTTATAAAGATTTTTAAAACACCAAGTATTATAGTCTGTCCATTTATAGAGGTGAGTGTTTTGTATGTCGCAGGAAGAGGACCAGGAGGACATAACCGCGTTGGCCGCATGGGTGTCGCGTGCGATGCGCCGCGCCGCCAGCGAGAAGACGGACGCGAGGGATGCTTTGCGTCTTGCTCCCCGCGTGCCCTGCGTGTACACCACGCCGCAGAGGACACAGGTAGTGGTCGTGTGTTAACCACGACTGGTATAAATAGCAGTGTGTGTACGGTGCACGTGCGCAGGTGGATCTGCGGCTGTACCGGCGTGATATAGCACGGCGAGCTGCCGCCCCGCTGCAGGCCCTGCTGGAGCGTGAGTCGCGAGGCTGGTTCCTGCACTTCCGCGAGCGCCGCGCTGCGCACCTCGCCAGCCAGAAGGTGCCCATCAAGGACATCGAGGAGGTACACTCTCTTTTATATACCTCTCAGTATTTAACATGTTTTAACTTTGACAACCCCTATTCCATTCATAGTAATAGGATCCTTCTATAACATGCTTTAAAACAGTTGTCTTTAACTAACATTTTTTTTATTTTAACAAACTATTATCGTAAATCCTAGCATAAGATGAAGTCTAATTTAATACGTTGTGATTGTTACAAGCAATATGATTTTTTTTTGTGACTTAATGGCCACTGTTTGCCTTGAAGAGGCATTTACAGATTCCCGAACTTGAGGTGGCCGAGCGCAGATGGCGCTTAGCCTAAACCTCGTTTACGAGTAACTAAGCTCGAGGGCTCCCTCAGGAGCCTCGGCACGAGTCGTTATTTCGATATTATTACCGGATTGGAAGC